AAGAAGAAGAAGAAGAAGAAGAAGAAGAAGAAGAAGAAGAAGAAGAAGAAGAAGAAGAAGAAGATTCAACAGACTGAATGTGGTCTGCAAAGCCTAAAAATATTTAGTATCTGGCCTTTTCCAGAAAACATTTGCTGACCTCTGATCTAATCTGCTTCGGTCCCTCCCCAGCCTTTTTTTTTTTTTTTTTTTTTTAATTAAAAGCAATTAAGGAGGAGGGCACCTGGCTGGCTCAGTCAGTAGAGCATGGTGACACTTGCTCTCAGGGTTGTGAGTTCAAACCCCACACTGGGTGTGGAGTCTACTTAAAAAAAAAAAAAAAATTTTTTTTTTTTTTTTTTTTTTTGTTGCTTTGTATGTAAGGTCAAATAAGTAATATGATTTGTTCCAGAGTTACATTCTGTGGCCAGAGTTTTGAGTTCCATCAAGGCTTGACTCTTCAGGGAAACAGACATATTTTCTTTCAAACAGACATGCTTTCTTTTTGCTCTGGCTAGATTATGCCCCCATGAGAGCTAAGGGGTATCTTGGGAGCCTCAGAGTAAAGGTTTCCATGTGTGGCACACGTTGAGAGGAGAGCGGTAATTCTAACTGGGGGAGAGTTTAGTGTTCCGCTGGTTTTATATATCACTTCTGAGGAGACTGCTTCTCTTTATAACTTGAAAGCCCTAGTAAGACCCATAATTTTGATTGTGGCCTGTAGTTAGATCTAACGTATGTAACGTTGGTTTTTAATGCTGATGCTATTTGTTACTATGTACTGAGCTAAACCCCAGAATTTAGGGGAAGTAATTGAGGAAGAATTGAGGAAGTAATAGGGTAGCAAATTTAGTGGGGGTGGTGATAAGTGTATGGACGACTCTGCTCCCATTATGAGCTAGGGAGAATACCCCTAGTGGTTCTTTGTGGGGTTACCTCTTATGGGGAGCAGGTTCTGGGAGCTCCCACTGTCAGAAGGCTATATATGATTGTGAGTCCACTGGGGAACAAGATTCCCTTGGGTCTGGGAGCCTTCTGAACCAAATGTTGTCCCTTCCAGCCAGAGCCTTTCCACTTTGGCTCTCATCGAGGAATTCCTAGGGAAACGAGAAGTGCCCTGTCTACCTGGTGCTGATGGGCAAGGAGTACAGAAGTGGGTTCGAAACGTCAGCTACTTCCGTGAGTTCACTGCTGCTTTGTTTCTGGAGCCTTGGCAGGGTCTGCTTAAGGCTTTCCTTTCCTTCTCTGCATTTTTGTCTTCCACTCCGTTCTCCACCAAATGTGTAGGAGTATCCGGAGTAACCAAAAGCAGGGAGGTATTGAGAGCAAGCTGCTATGTGTGAGGCACTGTACTAGGGGCTGGGGAGCTTGGGCAAGATACGGGGAGAGCAGAGAAGTAGAAGACATAAACCTTGTCTTCATCTGAGATACAGCAACTCCAAGACAAATACAAAGCAGCACTGATCGAGTGCCCTTATAGGTTCTAAGGAGAATAGAATCGTTGTGGGAAGGATGATTGGAGAAGGATTCCTGGAGGAGGCAGAACTTGTAGTAGACTGGTAAAGATGGGGAGAATTTGAATATACAGAGTTAGTGTGGCCTAAAGATCATTCTAGGAAGAAGCAACAGAGTGAATATAGGCCATGATCATGCATTCTGTACAGAGGAGATAGTATCCCTAAGAGGGTGAAAATTGGTTCTTGAGGGGACAAAAAAACTTAACTTTTCAAAAATATAAAGCTCAAATAGGCATCCAGTAAATAAACATATACAGTATATCTGTGGCATTTAAATTTTCATGAGGGACGTGTCAGTTGGGGAAAAAAAATGTATAAAAAGGCTTCTTAAAGGGGGTGGTCATGAAAAACAAAAGTTGAGAAATATTAACCTCATGTACTTACTGTCCAGATATTGACATTTGGGCCAGATAATTCTTTTTGTAGGTTGGGCGGGGGGGGGGGGGGTGCAGCAAGGGGGTGCTGTCCTGTGCATTGTAGGACTTTTAGTAGCGTCCCTGGTCGCTATTCATTAGATGACAGTAGCATCCACCCAGTTATAACATCCAAAAACGTCTCCAGACGCTGCCAACTGTCCCCTGTAGGGTGGGAGGGCAAGGAAATAACCCTTGTTGAGAAACACTGGCCTAAAGGAAGTATTTAGAGAATAGAGGTTCATGGGTGGTAGGAAGACCCAATGCCGAGCTATGCTTGGGAACTGTGGGAACTCAGGTTGGAAAGGTAGGTTGGGGTGCCAGTTGAAAGAGCCTCTAATACCAATTAAACTGATACTTCCTATAACAGTCATCATCCAGTCCTCCATGTGGTATTTCATCTCCTTAGCTTTGTCCTTTTCTCTCTTTTCCCTAGGGTGACAAATGTAGCCCCTCCTCTCTTATTCATGCTGCTGCTGCCTTTTTTTTTTTTTTTTTCCTTCCAAGATTTTATATAAATTCAAGTTAGTTAAGGGTAGTATTAGTTTCAGGAGTGACTTAGTGATTCATCACTTATATACAACACCCAGTGCTCATCACAAGTGCCCTCCTTAATACTCATCATGCATTTAGCCCATCCCCCACCCGCCTCCCTGCCAGGAACCCTCAGTTTGTTCTCTATAGTTAAGAGTTTCTTAGGTTTGACTCCTTCTCTGTTTTTATCTTATTTTATTTTTCCTTCCCTATGTTCATCTGTTTTATTTCTTAAATTACACATATAAATGAAATCATGGGGTATTTGTCTTTCTCTGACTTATTTCACTTAGCATAATATCCTCCAGCTCCATCCATGTTGCAAATGGCAAGATTTCATTCTTTTTCATTGCTGAGTAGTATTCCATTGTATGTTACATACATACAAACCACATCTTCTTTATCCATTCATCAGTCAGTGGACATTTGGGCTTTTTCCATAATTTGGCTGTTGTTGATAATGCTGCTATAAACATTGGGGTGCATGTCCCCCCCCCCTTTTTTTTTTTGCTTGTGCCCCTTTGAATCAATATTTTTGTATCCTTTGGATACATACCGAGTAGTGCAGTTGCTAGGTTGTAGGGTAGTTCTATCTTTAACTTTCTGAGGAACCTCCACACTCTTTTCCAGAGTGGCTGCTCCAATTTGCATTACCACCAACAGTGTAAGAGTGTTCCCCTTTCTCTGCATCCATGCCAACATCTGTTGTTTCCTGAGTTATTAATTTTAGCCATTCTGACAGGTATGAGGTGGTATCTCATTGTGGTTTTAATCATCCCTGATGATGAGTGATGTTGAGCATTTTTTCATGTGTCTTAAGCAATTTGTATGTCTGCTTTCGAGAAATGTCTGTTCATGTCTTCTGCCCATTTCTTAACTGAATTTTTTTGGTGTTTTTGGGTATTGAATTTGATAAGTTCTTTATAGATTTTGGATACTAGCCCTTTCTCCGATATGTCATTTGCAAGTATCTTCTCCCATTCTGTAGATTGCCTTTTAGTTTTGTTGATTGTTTTCTTTGCTGTTATTCATGCTTCTTAATTGAAGGTTACTTTTTCCCCTTCCTTTGAACTTCCTTCTTTTCATCCATATGCCCCATCCCACTGCCCCAGATCTATTCTTTTTAATGTCTCCTTATAGTAAGCTCTTAATCATAGGAGTTTGTTAACAATGCAAATTCCTGGTGGAGGGACAACATCCATATCACAACACAGAACTCTTAGTCCTTCTGCACTCACCAGGATTTACAGGACTGAGGTAGAGAGGTCACCCTGAGCCAGCTTTTACCAAGCTTCCGTATTTAGAGTGGTTCTTATGCAATTAAAGTCTAGGAACCTTGACCTTAGAATTAGTTTGTCTATTAAAGGGAGAAACATAGTTTGTAATCCTTGTTGCACATGGCGATATTTGAAAATTATAGGTGCCTGGGACTCACTGTAGACCCATGGAATGTCCATGGGGGTGGAATCAGAATACTGTAGTGTATTTGTTTTGTTTTAAAAATACATTTGCCCAGTGATTTTACTGTGTACCCGTGCCCTTATATGTCCATTTCTTGTGGTTTTCCTTCTGTCCTAGGGCTAGATGGTAGCACCCCTGCCTTTGAGAGGGAGCGGCTCATTAATCAGTTCAATGATCCCAGCAACCTCACCACCTGGCTATTCCTTCTGTCCACAAGGTGAGTGGATCCTGAGAGCGGAGGTCAGAGGGCTGTATTCAGGGCAGCTAGCCACGTGGGCAGGTACCCAAAGGCTCATCCAAGTTTCATCAGAAGAGATCTGCTCAGGTTTGTGACTTGTTTTTGAAGTCAGAGAGGGGACCCCAAAAGGAAGTTGTGTTAGAAGGGTAGTCATCATGATAGTGTCACAAAGTTCTTTGAGCCCTTCATTAATAATAGTCATACTTAGCTTTTCTCTCAGGAGTATTCTGAGTCTTAGATGATGGGATTAATGTGAAAGTGCTTTAAAAAGCAGAAAGTGTAATGTAACTGTAAAAGGCGATGGCATTATTTGTGTTATGCCAAGCAGCTTGAAGGCTGTGCTGTGTTCTGCCATCAGAATGCCCTTGATGGGTGTGAACTAGTCATTTTCCTAAGCTGTTAGACTAAACACACCAGAAACATCTGTATGCAGAGGTTTCCCTTCACCAAGTGACATCACTCTGGGGCCAGGATGCAGGGGCCTTACTAATTACAGAGGAGAGAGAGTGGGTTTTCTTTCAAAACTGGTCAACACTTCTGTTTTGGATTTTCAGGGCATACTTTTCAGTGCTTGAGCAATGTACTGTTCATCAGCAGGAGAGTACAGTCCTCCAGTATGTCATGCTTAGAACAAAGGAGGTGATATGGGGCTATCAGTCACAGTCAAATTTCAGTTTGAAAACGGTCTTTAAAACGAAAGGTTCTGTGACTGTTGGCTTGTGTTTTACAGGGCTGGATGCTTGGGTGTGAATCTGATCGGTGCCAACCGAGTGGTGGTGTTTGATGCTTCTTGGAACCCTTGCCATGATGCCCAGGCAGTGTGTCGGGTATACCGTTATGGCCAGAAAAAGCCCTGTCACATCTATCGCCTTGTGGCTGATTTCACCCTTGAAAAGAAGATCTATGACCGACAAATTTCCAAGCAGGGCATGTCAGGTAGGGCATCTTTCAGGCACAATATTATCCTTATTGTATCAGTGGTGGGAGGGGAGGGCCAGGTTGTAGGAACACAGGTAAGCTTTGAATCACAGAAAGTCAGCAGTTCCTCCCATCTCATTCTGATTCAAATAATTGCTTAAGAGGTGATTGACCTCAACTTGTCCTGGGCAGGTTTAATGATAAGAACTGAGTGTAGGTATACAGGTTTCTCTTATGATATTTCCATTTCACCAGGGCCTCAGACCTGGTCTTTGACTTTCAAATATGGGATGGACTGAGGTAGTTTAGATATTAGTGACAGTTATACCAACCACAACCTCTCTTGTCTGCCAACCTTTGTAGCTGTGCTTTTGCAGTCTTCTCTGCCACATACTGACTTTCTCTATGTCTTCTCGCTTCTAGATCGGGTGGTGGATGATCTCAATCCAATGCTGAACTTTACCCGGAAGGAGGTGGAGAACCTACTGCACTTTGTTGAGAAGGAGCCAGCTCCCCAAGCATCCTTGAACATAAAGGGGATCAAGGAGCCAGTACTCCAACTTGCCTGTCTGAAGTACCCTCACCTCATCACCAAGGTGAGAGCCTGGGATGCATGCAGTTCCCAGTACAGCAGTCTCCACTCAGGGAAGCTTGTCTGGCAAACTACTTTCCTTCATCTGAAGCTTTGTTTCATACAGAAGACTTGAACTCATCTGGTTCTCTCCTTACCCTGTGAAGTTTCCCACCCCAGTCTTATTCTAGCAGTGCTCAGCTCAGCCATGTGGAATAATTTGTCCAGTGTGAGTTTTTCCTAGCAGAAAGAAGGGGTAAAGTTCTAGAAATGTAGTCTAGTAATTCTCTGAACTCTCCCATCCTTTTATTTTTTAAGTGTTTATTTATTTTGGAAGAGAGAGAGAGTGAGCATACGTGCTGTACCCGTGTGAGCCAAGGAGAGAGAGGGAGATAGAGAAAATCCCAAGCAGGCTCCACACAGTCAGTGTGGAGCCCAACGCGGGGCTCCATATCACAAACCATGAGATCATGACTTGAGCCGAGATTAAGAGTTGGATGCTTAATGGACTGAGCTACCCAGGCGCCCCTCTCCCATCCTTTTGATTATAGAAGGCAGATTTGGGCTATCTAAAGGTGGGGCTGGGTTACAGTTGTGAGTTATACTCTTGACAAAAAGACAGTAAACCTGCTTATGTGTCTGTAAGCAGGCTCTTTGCGAGTGCTGGAGATAGCCAGCCCTTTCTCAGTTTCAGAGTAAGCCTCATTGTATATCAGTTGTGTTGGCACAGACTGATAATTAAATCAATGTCCTCCTGTGTCCCCAGGAGCCTTTTGAGCATGAGTCACTGCTCCTTAACCGAAAGGATCACAAGCTGACCAAGGCTGAGAAAAAAGCAGCAAAGAAAAGCTATGAGGAAGACAAGCGCACATCCGTCCCCTATACCCGCCCATCGTATGCGCAGTATTACCCTGCAAGCGACCAGAACCTGACCAGCATCCCTGCTTTCAGTCAGAGAAACTGGTGAGTCACTGAAAGGGGAGGAAGGCCTGCTGCTGGGCCAGGCCCAAACCTTTTGACTGGTTCTGTTTTTAAAAAATTTAAAAAAAAATGTTTTTTTATGTTTATTTCTGAGACAGAGAGAGACAGAGCATGAGTGGGGGAGGGGCAGAGAGAGAGGGAGACACAGAATCAGAAGCAGGCTCCAGGATCTGAGCTGTCAGCACAGAGCCCGACACGGGGCTCGAACTCACAAACCGTGAGATCATGACCTGAACCGAAGTTGGTCGCTCAACCAATTGAGCCACCCAGGGTGAGCCCTGACTGGTTCTGTTTTAAACAAAGGGAGAGCCTATAACTTGCTTGCTGGCTGTTGTGAACCGACAGGTTCTGCTCTTGGATGAGGTTCCAAAGCAGTTCAGCAGCCCTGGTGTTTTAAGTGGCTCTGGCTGAAAGAGTGACCTACTGGCTTTGTGACTCAGAAGAGTCCTTCTAGACTCCTGGAGAGGTGCAGCTTCCCAAGACACAGAGGCCCACCCCTCCCACACAGCTGCCTTCATATCTGTAGCGCCTTGGTCCTAGATCTTGCTTAAGCAGTGAAGTTCAAGGGTGAAGGCCAGGTCTTTTGCGGGTCTTGGATTGCAGTCAAGGAATTCTGCTGCTCTTAATGGGATTTTCATTGTGTGGCTGTGCCACAATTCTGAGAAAAAAATCTTTTTCTTGAGAACAGCTTCCAAAGTATGAACATGATAGAAGCTAGTTGCTAAGCAAAGAGCTTCTTTGTAAGAAATTACAAAACATTATCTATGCTTAATTTTTTTCATTTTAAGGCAAAGTACTTCATAGGCCTTACCAGATTGACTGCCTGATTGAGTGGTTTGCATTAAAAAAATTTTTTGTTTTATTATCCTTTTTTTAAAAGTTTTTTTACCTTTATTTATTTTTGAGAGACAGAGCACAAGTGGGGAAGGGCAGAGAGAGAGAGAGGGAGACATAGAATAAGAAGCAGGCTCCAGGCTCTGAGCTGTCAGCACAGAGCCCAACGCGGGGCTTGAACTCACGAACCTTGAGATTATGACCTGAGGTGAAGTCGGATGCTTAACGGACTGAGCCACCCAGGTGCCCCTAAAACTTTTTTCCTATGAAGATTACGTGTTAAAAAAAAAACTTGACAAATGAGGTTCTAAGGGAAATGAAACCATGTAAATTTTACTTAAGACTAATTTTTGGTGAGTAAATTTGCTACTCTTTTTTTTTTTTTAATGTTTATTTTTGAGAGAGAGACAGAGCATGAGCAGGGGAGGGTCAGGGAGAGGAAGACACAGAATCCAAAGCAGCTCTAGGTTCTGAGCTGTCAGCACAGAGCCTGAGGCGGGGCTTGAACTCATGAACCGTGAGATCGTGACCTGAGCCAAAGTCAGAAGCCTAACTGAGTGAGCCACCCAGGTGCTCCAAATTTGCTACTTTTTATGTACAAGATGCTTTCAAGAAAAATGTTATTCTCTTTCAAAGCCTTCAGACTTTATTTCTGTGTCATTTTCCAAGATACTATTGTCTGGGAATGTTCTCCTTTCTTGTCCTCCACCTGTTTTTTTCTCTTTTCTGGGCTTCCCCATGAAGCAACAGGAATGGAGTAAGCCTGAACCCAGTGAGAAAAAAGCCATGTTGGGGGAAGATGTGACAAATGGGCTGGGCTGTGGGCTTTTGTGGCCCATCTCTGGTTCTATGGGAGGCACTAGCCTCTCACAGCACTTGATGAGCCATACCATGATCCTGTTGATTCTTCCTCCTGTCTGGGTATATGTGAGGAGGGCTTTCTGCCCAATTTCCTTGCTTCAACCCCTGCAGAGTAGGGAGCTTAGGCTAGATTCCTGTTACCCTGACTTTTACCCTGATCTGACTTTGAATTCTAGGAAGACTCCCACTGGCATCTGACCAGGGCTGCTAGCCCTGCTAGCTCCTGCAAAGCCACCCTGGGCAGACTGAGGAAATGAGACTCAGACATAGAGCATAGGAAATGAGACATAGAGCTTACTGTGCTCTATGGCCTATCTAGAAATACAGGAGTCCACAGGGCACAGAGGGCTACCCAAAATTGCCTGTAGCAACCTCAGAGCAATGTTCTTCGGTCAGGTAAGAAAGAATATACCAGTCCAAGGAGGTCTTCCCCCCAAGACTGAAGACCAAAGGCACAAATTTCAGAAAGCTTAGAGACAGGGTCTTAATTTCAAAAATCTTAAATCAGGAGTAGTCTTCTCAAGGTACCAACATTCATTTGAAAGGAAAGTGAAGAATGAGGAGTGCATCATTGACCATCGGGTAACATTTGGCATGCTGGCATAAGATGCACAGCGGTGCTCAGGCTGTCCATGGCTGTGTGCCATTCAGAGACCCGGGTTCTGTGAACAGCGTTTTGGCTGCCGCTGCTTTTGTAGTGGTCATGACTAGAGGAGTACTTTGGATATTGGCCCCAGGAGGAGCCCAATGAAGTGTAATGTGGAGGAGAGAGGTGTCTGCATTACTTATTGAAACTAGAGGTTCCAGAGAATAAAGATGGTTGATGTTGAACATGTGCTCTCTCAAGATCACCTGAACGTGTGGCATTACATGCCTTTTCCTGGGTGAGTGGGGAAAATTACACCCCTTTGCCTTCAACTTGGCATGCACTATGTTCTGAAGAATTTCTTCTCCCTTATTGCATCTTTACCTTTTCCTAACTTCCCTCCAAGGACTAATCCCTAATGTATGTAGACAGTCCAAATTCTAGAGGAGCAAATGTCACCTCAGATCTCCAAAAAGGTATTATTCTGCTGACATCTGATTCTTCTTTGACTCTGAGAGGCTGTATGTCTCATTGCCACTCTGTCTCAGTCCTGCTTCTAGTCTCCTTTTGAATTGGCCATACTCTGCAGGTTTTTCTGGTTCTTCTCAGTAGCAGCTGAGAATGGGGGCACTGTAGAATGGGGGAATCTGGAGAAACTCTGCAGCCTTTGCAGAAAGGGCTGTTCGGCTAAAGTCTCTTAGTGTGTTTGTCTTTCTCTCACAGGCAGCCAACACTGAAGAGTGATGAGAAGCCTGTGGCCAGTGTTCGTCCTGTGCAGTCCACCCCCATCCCCATGATGCCCCGGCATGTCCCACTGGGAGGCAGTGTAAGCTCTGCCTCCAGCACAAATCCAGCCATGAACTTCCCGATCAACTACCTACAGCGCGCGGGGGTCCTTGTGCAGAAGGTGGTCACCACAACAGGTTGGGAACTCCTAGGTCCTCTTCCAGGGCTGCCTATCCCTTTTAAACTTACTTTGTTCATTCAGGAGGTATTTATTAAACACCTTTTATATTCTAGGCCTTACTACACTGGCACTGTGGGTAAAAATAGAGAAGATAGTCCCTGATCTTGAGGAATTTGCATTCTAATGGAATATCTTAAGAATTCTAACATGGAACTGGGTTTTCTTAAATGTGATATGTAGGATAGACACTGTAGAGATTGTGGAAATTTCACGGGAACACAGAGTTGGTCTGAGAGGTGTGAATGTGTTGAGTCCTGCCTGACTGTAGGGTCAGCTGGGTATAAACTGTCAACTTCCCTAATTAATTAGAATACCTGAATGTCACTTGCTTCTTTCTTTGTGAGTTTGATGTGAATTGAGCATGGTGGGCCAGTGGTAGGAGGCTGGCAGCCCGTCTCTCTCTGCAGTTGGTTCTTTGGGAAGGAAAGCATTTCATGGAGCTGTTTTTCATCTTATTACCTAGAAATATTCATGGTACATAAATTTGAATAAAAATACCTTAGATTTTTGAGTATGAAAATAATATGTGTCCATTATAAAAAATTGTGAAATGACTAAAGACAAAAAGCGAGCCCCTTATAATCCTACTTCTGCTAATTCTCAAACATACGTTTTATTCTTTAGTTAGGTGTGGAGTAATGCCAGCAAGGAAGAGGATGAGGCCACTTTTGGAGCCTAAAGTGATGTGGAGCAGATGGATTCAGATGGCTTAGAGAGGAGGACAACAAACAAATATAGAAATAATCATTTGAACTAGAACTTTTTCCAAACTAAAACTATGAAATTTTAATTAAATCAAGGGAAATTGATCAGAAAGATGATCAGATTTTTTAAAAGGTTCTCATTCTCACAGTATTCTTTGCTAGGCAACTGTGAGAGGAGGCCCTGCTTGCTTCTCCTCCCTTGGTTCAGACCTCTGCTCCACTGAGAGGCTTTAGGGAAGCCATTGAGGAACAGGGGTAGACACGGACTTTGCATCTTCTTCCCTTCTCAGTCAGGTAATCTAAATCTGAGGTCTGTATCTTCACTAGATATTGTTATTCCTGGACTCAACAGCTCCACAGATGTACAGGCGAGAATTAATGCTGGTGAGAGCATTCACATCATCCGTGGGACGAAAGGTAAGAGCCCGACCACAGGGCCCATCCTCTACTTTTGGTTCAGAGTGTGGGACTGGGAAGCAGAATAAATATATATGGCCTGAGCTAGAGGGAGGATAGGAATCGTCCTATGTAAGAATGTCACATGTGGAGGAAGCATGAGAAGAAGCATTTCTAGGAGCTTAGCAGAGTTGGGGTGGGCCCAAAAGAGATCTGTCAGTGGCTTAAAAGAAGAGAGTTAGGGTCTCTCCATTCCTGTATTTTTGTCCTTGTTTTTATGGAGAATCTTGAGTTGAATTTGAATAGACACCATGTTTTGTATCAATCACAGTGTGTTGATAGTGATGCTATCAGCTAGAAGTGCCTGGGTACGACCTGGTGGTGTACTAATCATGGCAAGCCCCCACAGACATTTCCCAGAGCCAGTGTGGTGACTGGACTGGCCCTGTGGTTCTTACTGTGATTGCATGATGCACCTCAGCAGCAACCATCAGTGGACTTTGAAAAAACAAAGTTTATGACTCACAGGTCCTGGTAGGTGTACAGCACCCTAGGGCCACACAATGAGTTTATGGGTAGAGAAACAGGGAGAGAAGGCCTGGGTTTCTATTAGGATCCAGGAGTTGGGGTGGTTAGAGTTTTGTGGGTTACTCTTTATTGGTAAATTTAAAACATAAGAGCAGGAATTAGGGAATGGGAAAGGAAAAGCAGGGTCACTCAGGGTTCAATTTTCTGGGTTACTCTGGGCTTTCTAAAAGGGGAACTTCATGGGTAGGCACAGTCTGGTTCCTTATCTACTTGTTTAGTTAGTAGCTGTCATACAGGTGCAATTGGCTTATTTGAGATAGATGCGTTTGAAGTGGATGCCTTGTTAAACAACAGCTTAATGCCTGGCACTTACACTGCACACAGGGAGACCAAAAGTGGAGGGAAAGAGCTGTGGAATGGGTTATTAGCTAACATGTATGTTGCTATGTTGTCTTACCCACTTGCTCAGAGTGGGGTGGAGGTCTCAATTAGGAAATGTATTGGGTAGATAAATTAGTATCTGTGGGTTGCATGACAGATATTTTGAGTGTGGTAATTTAAAAAGTCCACTGCCTCTGTCCTGCTTATAGACTGTAGACGGAGATGAGATTACTGGAATGAGAAGTCTGGACTGAACATTGTCAGAATGCATTCTGAACCTATCATTCATATCAACCTTTACTACGAGGCTCCCTGAGGCTATTTAGCAAGGAGATTTTGCCCTAGCTTCTGTTGGGTCAAAGTACCTTTTAGGCTCAGGGAAAAGATGCCATGAAGTACATGACCCACAGAGAAGATTATACCCAGCCTCTTTACCAGACTCTTCCTAGCCTAAAGCATGGGTCAGCAAACTATGGCCTATGGGCCAAATCCAACCTGCTTGGATTCTGTAACTGTGAGCTAAGCATGGGTTTTACATTTTTAATTGGCTAAAAAAAAAAAAAATCAAAAGAATACTGTTTTGTGACACCTAAAAATTATATGAAATTCACATTTCAGTGTCCCTAAATGAAGATGTTTGGAGCACAGCCATGCCCAGCTGTTTTCAACCTATAGTAGCAGAGTTGAGTGGTTGTAACAGAGACCTTTTGGCCCACAAAGGCAAAAATATTTACCAGCTGGCCCTTTAAGAAAAAGTTTGCTGACCTCTAGCCCAGAGGCAGCCCTGACCTTCCAGGAGATTGATATCAAAAAACAGAGAAGGTAGGGTTGTGCCCTATGGGAACAGAATGCTGGTCTTAAATTATTCCTATCAAGGTAGAAGAAGGTGTTGAGGCAACGAGGCTCCTTCTTCCCAGATTAAGAGGACTCCTGCCAGAGTACTTCATCCAGAACCAAGGCAGCCAACTTACTCTCTTTCACAGCATCCTGTTTATTTTCTCCATTGCATTTCATCTTTCCTGATATTTTCTGGTATCATTGTCTCTTTCTCTAGAGGTTGAGCCCTGTGAGACAGGTCCCTTTTCTGTCTTAACGTTCTTCAGTGTCTACAACAATGCCTCATAGTCACACAGTCTTATGGAGTAAATGAGTAATACTGGGTCCACAGTTCAATTGGTCCACTTGTCATTTCAGGGGATCTCAAGAAAGGGCATAAGACCTAATTTTATAGCTGGTTTCCCAGCCCACGATGCCTAGGCCTGGGGTTCCCAGGGTTGGCTGATTGTGTATCTGCTTCTAGCAGCCTTCCTCCTGTTTTTTGTTAGGGACATACATTCGCACCAGTGATGGGCGGATCTTTGCTGTCCGAGCAACTGGCAAACCGAAGGTACCAGAAGATGGTCGGATGGCTGCCTCAGGTATAAGGCTTCTACTTTCTATTGACCTGCATGGCATTTGTTTGTTTGTTTTGGTTTGTAATTAATTAATTTTTTGAATAACGTGTATATAGTTCACAATTCAAAAGGTTTAAGAGGGGTAAAGTGAAAAGTAAGTTTTGCTCCCCCCACACTCCCAGCCATCTATTGCTCCTTTCTGAAGGTGTTACTCTCATTTGCTTTCTTCAGAGATATATTATACATATACTTGGTACAGGAATGTGTGTGTGTGTGTGTGTGTGTGTGTGTGTGTGTGTGTGTGTGTGTTAAGTATACATATGTAACTTTTCTCTGTATTTAAAAAAAATTTTTTTTGATATTTATTTTTGAGAGAGAGAGAGAGAGACACAGCGTGAGTGGGAGAGGAGCAGAGACAGAGAGAGGGAGACACAGAATCCAAAGCAGGCTCCAGGCTCTGAGTTCTCAGCACAGAGCCCAACGCAGGGCTCGAACCCACAAACCATGAGATCATGACCTAAGCCGAAGTTGGACACTTAACCAACTGAGCCACCCAGGCATCCCATCTCTGTATTTTTATTTTTTATTTATTATTTTAAACTTTATTTATTTATTTTGATGGGGCGCCTGGGTGGCGCAGTCAGTTAAGCGTCCGACTTCAACCAGGTCACGATCTCGCGGTCCGGGAGTTCGAGCCCCGCGTCAGGCTCTGGGCTGATGGCTCAGAGCCTGGAGCCTGTTTCCGATTCTGTGTCTCCCTCTCTCTCTGCCCCTCCCCCGTTCATGCTCTGTCTCTCTCTGTCCCAAAAATAAATAAACGTTGAAAAAAAAAATTTAAAAAAAAAAATAAAAATAAAAATAAAAAAACTTTATTTATTTATTTTGAGAGAGAGGGAGAGCTCGAGCTCAAGCAAGGGAGGAGCAGAGAGAGAAATCCCAAGCAGGCTCCACACTGTCAGCGCAGAGTCTGACAAACCCACAAACCGTGAGATCATGACCTAAGCTGACATCAAGAGTCAGACGCCCAACTGGCTGAGCCACCCAGGCTCCCCCTCTATATTTTTAAAACAGATGCTAACTTACTATACTATACTGTTTATTTTTTCACTCACTAGTGTATCTCAGTACTTGTTCCTTACCATTTCTTTAGATGTGCCTTATTGAAGGTGTACACAGGATGCTGTTAGATGGGTATAACACAGCGCATTACCGAGTTCCCTGTCCTTGGACATTTACATTGTTTCACTCCCCTCTTACAGTACTGGTTCATAGTCATGTGGGTATGTCTATAGGATGAATTCCTAGAAGTGGGATTGTCAAGTCAAAGAGTGTGTATGTGGCACATTAACAGTGTTAGGAACTCTGTCCAAGTTCCCCTCTACAGGAGTGCCTCTCATCTATCCTTCCTCTGTGGAGTATGAGCACTAGACTGCTCTTGCTTCCAGCTTTTATTATGGAAATTTCCATACCTCCAGACAAGTTGAAAGAACAGCATGGTGAGCACCCATGTACCCTGCATCTAGGTCCAATGACTGTTACTGTTCTCATAAACTTTCTTCTGTCTCTCTCTCCCTTCCTATTATTGGAACTATTTGCAAATAGTGCTGAAGATGTCATGTGATTTTACCTATAAGTACTTCAGCACACATCTTTTAAGAGTAAGGACATTCTCCGGGCGCCTGGGTGGCACAGTCGGTTAAGTGTCCGACTTCAGCCAGGTCACGATCTCGCGGTCCGGGAGTTCGAGCCCCGCGTCGGGCTCTGGGCTGATGGCTCAGAGCCTGGAGCCTGTTTCCGATTCTGTGTCTCCCTCTCTCTCTGCCCCTCCCCCGTTCATGCTCTGTCTCTCTCTATCCCAAAAATAAATAAACGTTGAAAAAAAAAAAAAAAAAGAGTAAGGACATTCTCCTCCTAGCCACAACACCATTATCACACTAAAAAGCTTAAAACTCCATAATAGTACCTGCTATCTAGACTATATCCCCACTTGTCCCAGTTGTCTTTCATGGCCATGGATTGGGTTTTGTTTTTAAACAAGGATGGACCTTTTTTTAAACTTCATTTTCCTTTTCCCTCCCATCTTGGTCACTGGCTGTCTCTGTCCCTGGAAGAGTCCAACTTGTTGCAGAAATGATCTCTTAGCTTTTCATATTCATTATCTCCTAGAATTCACTTTGGTCGAGTTTCACAGATTGCAGACCTGGGGTGTAGAGAAGTTATATGTCTTATCATAGACTTATTTCCTAGATCAAGAGATTTCTTTCTTTGTGACTGGGAAAAGTTGACTGGGTGATGTTTGGATATCAAACTCTTTGAATTTGGGGGACCACAGGACAAGGGTTTTTTTTTTTTTTTTTTTTAATTTTTTTTTTCAACATTTATTTATTTTTGGGACAGAGAGAGACAGAGCATGAACGGGGGAGGGGCAGAGAGAGAGGGAGACACAGAATCAGAAACAGGCTCCAGGCTCTGAGCCATCCGCCCAGAGCCCGACGCGGGGCTCGAACTCACGGACCGCGAGATCATGACCTGGCTGAAGTCGGACGCTTAACCGACTGCGCCACCCAGGCGCCCCGACAAGGGTTTTTTTTAATGGAATTTTTCCTATACTCTCCTTCTCTCCCTGGCCATTCTGGTTCTCAGTTACCTACATTTTATCCCCAGGTTCCCAGGGGCCTTCTCTCGAATCCACAAGCAACGGCAGACACAGTGCCTCATCACCCAAAGCCCCCGACCCCGAGGGGCTGGCCAGGCCCGTCTCTCCAGACAGCCCGGAGATCATCAGTGAGCTCCAGCAGTATGCAGATGTGGCTGCCGCCAGGGAATCCCAACAGAGCTCCCCAAACTCCAATGCCGCCCTGCCTGGCCCCCCGGCTCAACTCGTGGACAGCAGTGCTGTTCCTGGGACAGCTCTCGGGACTGAGCCTCGACATGGGGGTCATTGCCTCAATAGTTCCCTCTTGGTGACCGGCCAGCCCTGTGGTGACAGGAACCCAGTGTTGGACTTACGGGGCCATAAGCGAAAGATGGCCACGCCACCTGCTGCCCAAGAGTCAGCCCGCCGGCGGTCCAGGAAAGGCCACCTGCCAGCCCCCGTGCAGCCGTACGAACACGGGTATCCAGTTTCTGGCGGGTTTGCCATGCCACCCGTCTCCTTAAACCATAACCTCACCGCTCCCTTCACCTCCCAGGCTGGGGAGAACTCCTTGTTTATGGGCAGTACCCCCTCCTACTACCAGCTGTCCAATTTGCTGGCAGATGCCCGCCTGGTGTTTCCAGTGACTACTGACCCTCTGGTGCCAGCAGGCCCCGTCAGTTCCTCCTCCACGGCTACCTCAGTCACTGCCAGCAACCCCACCTTCATGCTCAACCCGTCTGTTCCAGGGATACTACCCAGCTATTCACTCCCATTCTCACAGCCACTCCTGTCCGAGCCGAGGATGTTTGCGCCTTTTCCTTCCCCTGTCTTACCCAGCAACCTTTCACGGGGCATGTCTGTCTACCCAGGCTACATGTCCCCACATGCAGGCTACCCTGCTGGCGGCCTCCTCCGGTCCCAGGTGCCTCCATTTGACTCTCATGAGGTTGCTGAGGTGGGCTTCAGCTCCAATGATGATGAGGATAAGGACGATGATGTGATAGAGGTCACTGGGAAATAGCTGGGGAGCCCCTCTCCACCTCACTCGGGGCCCCCCAGCAGGTTGCCCACCAAGCTGAAAGGCAGCAATCTGGGCTTTCTGAGAATAGGGCACTTGGCAGGAGGGGAAAGGAAGAGGGCAAAGAAAGGTGGTTGACTGTAGTGGCAGGGCTCTGTTGCTGTGTAACAAAAGAGGCAAAATAATCCAACAGAGCAGCAATAGCGGGAAATCAGGGACCCAAAACAGGAATGAAGGGGCAGGGCAGCCTGCCTCTCTTCCTGCCTGCCTTGCTTATGCTGTGTGCTTGCTTGCTTGCCATCTGAGCGTAGAAGCTCACATCCCATTTCTGTCTTTGGGAACATTCTCTCCCAAGAGAGCTGCCTTACTGGGTGACTTAGCTTGGCCTGGAGAGGGGAGGGGAGGGAAGGAGGGTAAGTGAAGGAGGGTGGGCAGGGAGAACAGAATGAGATTTCATATGAAGTGGAGTCTTTCTGGGGGTGGGGGGGGGAAGAAGCAGACCAGGTGTGTGTGTGTGTGTGTGTGTGTGTGTGTGTGTGTGTGTGTGTGTGTACTTGTATGTAACAGAGCAGGGGTGGAGGTGGGAGGGGAGGGTGGGAGGCACTAAGCGGGAAACTAAAAAATGAATTTATCTTTTTTAAAATGGAAATCAGAGTGTGTTGGTTCATGGCAACTATTAGTATCAGTATCGTGATGAGCCCAGGAAAAGAGCCATGGAACCCACAAGTTTCCTTCTGGTTGGGTGAAGAGAAGGCCCAGCTAATCCAAGTCCCTGGTTTTCAGAGCCACATTTATTTTAGAATTTGGGGGAAATTATGAGAGAAAATGGGCATTACCAATCTCTGTCTCTTTCCCCAGTGGCTGTCTCTGAGCAGATTTCCCTTCACAGGGTGTGAGATTGTATGCAGAGGCTGGGAGCGGGGGGGAACACTGTGTTGTGTGAGCAAGAGGTCATGCAGTTGTGGCCAGAAAAGACCTTCTTCACAAGGATGGACCTGAGCCCCCAACCTGCCTATCCTTGTGGCCTTTCATTTCCTTCCCCGCTAGAAAGCTCCATGTTAATTTATTTCTTATGGGCAATTATTTATTATTTGGACTTTCCACGTGTCTTGTTTTTCTTGGGGGGGGGGGGCGGTTAGATTTTAGGAGGGTAGGAGATAGGAAGGGAAATGTTAATATCTCCCAGATCCCATAGCTGCTGGTAAACAAGTCCCAGGTAGATGGTGAATTGACCAAGGAAAGAGAGTTGGGCTTGACCGAGGTTTACACTAAACAGCTATGTTTTCGGGAAATGGCCTCTCAGGAAGACCAGTGAATCTTGTGACTGGATAGTTAGTGCAGGTGAGACTCATTCCACAGAGATTGAAACTTGGGATCATGGAGTTTGCCATTGGGAAGTCAGTGACCCCAAATTTGGAGCTGTGTCCTCCTGGGATGACTTTAAGGTAGGCTCTCTATGCTGAATAGTGAAGCTCTGCGTAGGTGACTGCTGGGTTGAGAGAATAGACTGCTGATTTCCTATTAGGAAATGTCTTGGCCTCCCCAGCCTGACAGATGATCATTGTGGCCTGGTGTCTGTTATCTCCATCCTCTTTGAAGGAACACAGAGCAGCCCTTCCTCTGTAGGAGCCTTAAGTCTGGCTTTTGTCTTAAAAGAATACATCAGTCATTCTGGGTCTCCTCTTTCTTGTTGCCAGTGGCAGAGGAGGGGGTATCTAGTCTTTAAGCATAAACACTGGCTGTCTTCCTATTGGCTCTTTTCCTCCTGCTACTGAGACTTTGCGAGGCAGTTCTTTGTGAAGAACAAACCTGTCTGGCTTTAGAGTTTTGCCACCTATTCATGGGTCCCCACTGGGCAGCTGCTGCACCTGCCTCTTTCCAGCCTTGGAGGCAGCTTAGCCAAGTCTCCCCTAGTAGTAGTTGCTTCTGCAACTCTTCTGACAAGTTTGTTTCCATTGTTAGAGGGCTTTAGCACATTCTGGGGTATTGTCCCCAGAGAAGAGACAAGGAGATGGCTAATGGGGGTGCATGCATGCATGTGTGTGTGTTTGTGTGCTGTCCAGTTGCACCAAAAGTGGAACTTAAAGAGCTTTCTCTCTCTGTTTTCATAGGTACCCTGTCAGACACTTAGCTCTCCTACTCATAGAAGCCTTAGATCTACAATTTAGCTATGCAAATTATTTTAATAATTTTAAAATAGCAGTTCCAACCAGTGCTTTCTCTTTCAGAGGTATCCCAAGAATGATGGTGAAGGGACTCAGTTGGAGTGGGCTCTCAGATTTGAGGCTGGTGCAGTAGGAGCAAGCTAGCCTGGATCTCTGATTTGCAGAGCACACTCACAATCTGGGCTACCACTGATGCCTCTAAGGCCCCCAGAGCACTGGGATCCCAGAGGGTGTGTGTGTGTGTGTGTGTGTGTGTGTGTGTGTGTGGTGTTAGGGAAGGAGGAATATGTCTGTGTTTACCTCTAGGAAATCACAGCAGCAGGCTCTGAGAATCTGGAAATTATCAGCAAAGAATTGAAACCAGTCACTGGAAGGATGGGCCTTTGAAGGTACCAGGAAGTGAATGGGTATTCTGAGAGGAATACATACCTGCTCTCTACCCACTGATTCCAGGGGCTGGGTCTTACTTCAGGTCAGAAGAGGCAATAGTTTGGGGAAGCTGACCTGGCTAGAGAAGCCTTTTTTTGATATGTGCAGCTTATATTGTATAAAGGCTATGGGGTGGGATCATGGGAAATTAGAATGCTACCAGTTTCATGTTTGGGGTTTTTTTGTTTTTTAATCTGAAAAAACACTTTTCTGCTATCTCTTTATGTGTGCTGGTAGGCAAGTGTGCATGCACATCAAATATGAGCATGTGTGTGAGGGAAGCAGGAAATGTCTCAGAGCCTAAGAACCATGTTTTACAGCCTCTTTGATCAGAAACACTTGGTGGTGGCTTTCAACCACCATCTAGGCCTGAGTGACGGAAGGATGGTGATAATGGGTGGCGGGGGGGTGGGGGGTGGGGAGGGATGTGCAGTGGATCAGGCCTCTCAGCATTTTCCCCTCACCATTGTCTTCCAAAGGATGTTTTCAAGGACCTCTCAAGCTTGATCCATCTGGCTTAGTCTGAATCCTCAGCCTAGGGAATATAGTACTACTTAATGATTCAGGATTACCATTTGTAATGATGTTCAATTTTCTTTTCTTAATATCTTTGTGGATGAAAATGGAACCAGAGACAAAGTAGCCATTTCAGTAAGAAAGTAAATGAACCATGTTGGATCAGATCATTGGATATCTGCCAAGTTCACACCCCTCGAGTTGTGCTTTTTGAGCATCTATCTCTTCACCTCCTGACTTAAGGAGAACTCTTTCTGGTCCTTGGAACTCTCTTCTCTAGGAATTAGTATGTGGTATCTCTGTATATACTTGTGATTCACAACTAAATATGAAATTGCCCTCTCTAGGGCGTGAAGCAGTTAACTGGGGTAAAGTTTTGCTGATAGGTTGAAATAACCAAACTTTAGTGGTCTGGGTGGGATGGTCACTCCCAAAGCTGTCAGCAGAGCAAGGCTGTCTGTCTCAGTCCGTTTGAGCCTGGCATTGCTGTGGCATTGCTCTGGAACCGAGTCCTCACCCCATGGGGAAGGTCTGGGGGTTATACATTCCTTATTCCTAGTGTTCTTGGCCATGACCCCCTTCCTCCTGCTTCCCAGTTCCCTGTGAGTCCTCAGAAGACCAGTCTCCCTTCTGAGTCATGGCCTCCTGTGCACCCAGATCAATCATTCTTTCCCTAGCAAAACTCTGAGATAAGAGCTCTTTCCCCCAACAGACCCCCAGGAGACTTTCTGGCCCTCCTCTGACTTGTTCCCAGGAGATCTGCACCTCAAGGCCTGAGAATGCTGCGCTTTCCATCAGCCACCGTCAGACTCTGTCCCCTCCTACTGACTCTTCTGCCCTATGTGTTCTGATGTGACCCCTTCATGTCTCTTCTGTGCCACTAGCTTGGCCCTAGGCCTTTTATGAATACCAAGTCTTAACGATGAACTTCCCGAGCAGGCAGTGGCCAACTTACTTCTTCATTCTTCAGGGACCTGAGTCTGCCCCTTTCCTCTCTCACAGGTTGGTTGGATATAGTAATCCAGTGCATTGGGAAGAGGTAGCCAGGCAGGCTGTGGAGTCTGTAGTGCAGAGGGCTTGGGGAGATTTGGGTACTCTGTTACCACTACTGGGATGATATTCAGAAGAGGGGACCTCATACTGTGACCTGACCCAGGACCCTTCTCTGAAAGAGAGCTCAGCCCAGGGGTGTGTGTGTGTGTGTGTGTGTGTGTGTGAGAGAGAGAGAGAGAGAGAGAGAGAGAAAGAGTGTGCGTGCATGTGTGTGCACACGTGTGCATGCATGTGCGCGCGAGAGAGTGTGCATTCGTGCATATGGGTGTAAACTGTTATCTGGTTGTGTTACTCAGGGTGGGCTGGGGACTCATGGGAAAAATCCCCCTCAGCCTGCCCAAGACTGGTTTTATCCTGTACCCTCTCCAGAAGGGTCAGGGGAAGGGGGTCCAGGTGGGTTGAGGGGGTCGCAATGGATAACCACTAAGGCCACACTGCTGCCGGGAGGAGTTGGGGGGAGGGGGAGATATGAAGTGGCCCCAGGGACCTGGCACCTGGCTTTGGTTTTCCGTCTTCTTTCCTCAGGACGCCCCCTGAGGCCTGGGACCTGCTGCGCCTGGCTTTGAGGAGCATCTGTGTCTGGGTGCTCCAGCTGCTGGTGTGATCATGGGCTTCCCTCCTCTCTCAGCAGGGCAGGTGCTCCTGCCCCAGAGACTGGGCAACTGGCTGTTTCTATGACGTATTTATTTTTACTTGTGTTTCATGTCACTTTTTTAAAAAAGCAAACAGAACAATTGTAAGTCAGTATAACTGCCTATCAGTTTTCTTTATTTCTCTTTTTGTAAAATAAAATTTAAACTCCAGAAGGCAGTGTTGTTTGATCAAGGAATTGTCTGAACAGCTGGCTGGCTGACTGGGTGGTGAAAGGGATATAAACTTAGAATATAGTGGGCACTGGGATGGTACTTGATGTGAGTGGGGTGGGGGAGAGAGGTGGGAATAGAGGGCAGACTGCTGGTAGGCTCTTTGTTGCAATGGGGTTCACTAGGCTTTTTCTGCCTTTGCTCACCTGAGGAGGACCGC